AACGCGTTAAACTGACAGCCCTAATATATATATATATATATAAATAAAATAAAGATTAAATAATTTTTTTACTTTTTGTTCAACAAAATTATAAACCATTTAACATTTAAATAATAAAAAATATATAAATTCATAAAAATTTATAATTTTTTCTGAAAACAATCCTTTCTGTTGGGCCCTGCATTGTAGAAATACCTTATTCACCGACATACTGTATTTCTCACCCATGATAAATGTATTTCACCATGAGGCACTGACGTAATTTAAAAAGGATACAGCTCCATATATGAGGGAACACACACCATCTCTTTGGAAAAGTCCACTTTGCACGAAAGTCTGCACAAAAGCTTTTCATATTCACTGAGCGCATCAGTCAGATTCACACAATTACCCTGCAGGCAGAAAATAACATTAATAGGAATGAAAAACAGCAAAACTTGACAGTAAATTGAGCTACCTGCCCCCCTCACCTGTGTGAAGTACTTCCCACCAGGCCGCAGAACTCTAATGGAGAGGTCAAGGATGAGTCTCAAGAACTCCCATGTTGAATCTATAGAAAAATGCAGATCAAATGAATTGATTTAATATTTGTAAGGCTCAGTCAGAAATGCGTAGCTGCATATACAGTGCACTAACCTTCCTCAGGTGCTGTAGATATAGGGACAGCTGTCAAGTCATTTATGACGTAATCAAAGGTCCTCCCTTGCTCGGCAAACTTTTTAAGTACGGGAACACAGTCTTGTACCAATATCTGAAACAAAAAAATGGAAAAATTAGATCAAAATGAATGGTATTCATTCATTGTTAGCCAAAAAAAGCTGGAAGTTGCCCAGAGCTTGGGTAATTTCCCTCAACTGTCTACATTGCGCTTGTTTCAAAAGCAGGAAAGGGGCCTCATTGTAACTTCAAAGATAAAAATATGTTTAGCAACTTATAAATGAATGAGAATGTGTAATATAGTCTAATAAACACTTCCGTTCAAATGTTTGGGGCCAGTAGGAAAAAAATAATCAAAAGTGACCGTATAAACAAAAACAAAGTATATACAATGTCACAAAACATTTCTATTTCAAATAAATGCTGTTCTTTTGAACTTTCTATTCAGAGAATCATGACAAAAATGTTTCATGGTTTCTTCAAAAATATGAAGCAGCACAGCGGTTTTCAAAATGAATAATAATAAGAAAAGCTTCCCGAGCAGCAAATCAGCTGCTATATTAGAATGATTTCTGAAGTATCATGTGACTCTGAAGACTTGAGTAAGCTTTATCATCACAGAAACAATTTACATAATATAAAATATTTTCAAATAGAAAACAGTTATTTTAAATTTCACTAAAAATGCAGTCTTAGTGAGCATAAGAGGCTTCTTCCAAAAACATTTAAAAAAATCTTACCGACCCCAAACGTTTGAACAGTATAGTATCGTTTATAACAATTGATAACATTATAGTTATAAACTGAAGCTTGGCAGGTATGTTTAGAACTGGGACCGATATACATAAAAGCTTTAACTGATAAAATGTCACTGCACAGACAATTCAATTCTTACCTCATAACAATCTCCCTTCAAGTTATCTAACACATTCCCGCATGTCTTTCTCATGTGTTTCCTACATCCATCAATCACCAACTCGTCAATGTAAATATTTAATTAAGGAAAGTACATATCTAAAGTTACAAAATACTGACAGTTACAAAATATTACGTTGTGTTCCATTTAACTGCAGTCAAGCGTTAGCATAAAGGATATCTCAACCATGGTGATCATCTTTGGTTTGAGCTTCACCGCCTCATGGAGAATTCCACCGTCTCCTCCTCCCAGAATAAGTACCTCCTTCCCAGCATAGTGCTCTTTGCCGCTGCCCATAATGGCCTGAGTGTAGGGCAGATCACTTTCTGCCAGATCTGTCATTTGATCACACTAAATTACCATGTGTTCACATGACACAACAACCCCAAAATGAAACCAGTAAATAAACAAGACCCTTTTTACTTACTGACATCCCCATTAAGAATGAGCATATTGCCAAACTGCCGCGAGTGCAAGATTTTGATGTTCTGGTAGGCGGAATTCTTCTCGTACACAGCTTCATCGATATCGTACTCCATCAACCTGCCGTCAGCAGTGGGCCAGTATCGGTCAACATCACTGCCTCGAATCAGCGCAGGGAGTCTGACAGAACACATTCAGTTAAACAGACCAAAATAAAGTTCCACGAGAAGATACATGCTTGAAATGTCATGGGGGTGAGAACACAATGAAGGAATTTAATCTATGGCAACTGATTCAGAATGAAAATACCTCTTGATCCTTTGGATATTTCCATCCAGGAGAGCCTTCAGTTTCTTCTCCAGTGCATTCAGTAGCTACAAAGAAAACATCGTCTTAATTATGACCTTCTAAATAAAGAGAAACAGGAAGTAAACACATTCTGGAATGGTTGAATCACCCTCCTGGCTGATTTGATTAGAGGTCAGAATGCTGTACCATACAAAAAATTTTTTTCCAGCAAGCATGCATTAAATTGATCCAAATAAATGCTTCTGAATTTCTATTCATCTTAAAGGGTTAGTTAACCCCAAAATGAAAATTATGTAATTACTCACCCTCATGTCGTTCCAAACCCATAAGACCTTCGTTCATTTTCGGAACACGAATTAAGATATTTTTGATGAAACCGGAGAGCTATCTGACCATCCATAGACAGCAACGCAACTGTAATGTTCCCAGACAGAAACGTAGTAAATACATTGGTAAAACAGTCCATGTGACATCAGTGGCTCAACTTCAGTTTTGCGATGCTACGAGAATACTTTTTTTTGCACAAAGAAAACAAAAATAACAATTTACTCAACCATTCTTCTCCCTCGAGTTACGTCTTCCACCATTTTGGAGAGTACCCAAGAGCGTAATCGACGTAATCAGCGTTGTTTACGTTCGGGGGGAAAGCGCGTGCATGAACGTAATCTGCGTAATAAGCACTGTTTACGCTTAGGGGAAAGCGTGCGTATGCATTGTAATACTCTCTTTGCGCAAAAAAAGTATTCTCGTAGAATCGCAAAACTGAAGTTGAGCCACTGATGTCACATGGACTGTTTTACCGATGTCCTTTATACGTTTCTGGACCTGGGAACATTACAGTTGCGTTGTTGTCTATGGAGGGTCAGATAGCTTTCCGGTTTCATCAAAATGATCTTAATTTGTGTTCCGAAGATGAACGAAGGTCTTACGGGTTTGGAACGACATGAAGGCGAGTAATTAATGACAGAATTTTCATTCTGGGGTGAACTAACCCTTTAAATCTTATCTTATTGTATCACACTTTCTCTAAAATATTAAGCAGCATAATACTGATTTTCAGTACTGATAATAAAAAATGTTTCTTGAGTAGCAAATCAGCCTATTAGATTGACATCTGAAGGTTCATGTGACACTGAAGACTGGAGTAATGGCTGCTGAAAATTCAGCTTTACCTAATTACATTTAAAATGTATTAAAATAGAAAGCCGTTATTTTAAATTGCAATAATATTTCACAATATTACTGTTTTACCTGTATCTTTGATCAAATAAATGCAGCCTTGGTGAGCATAAGAGACTTCTTTCCAAAACAATTTTTGAATGATAATGCATAAATATAGACTTTAGGGTTTTCAGTAAAATGTGATTAAATGTAAAGATTGTGTCCTGTAGTTATCATGTGACAAAGAACAAGTGCAAATGACTCCGATATCCCAGTTTTAAAAGGTTGTTAATAAACTTAACAGTATTTTATTAGTATTTTTAAGATTAACATTAAGTTATCATGCATCTCTATCAGTCCTGATAGCACCTACATTCTGTTAACTCACATTGTCCACTTGCGCTACATCATCCCCTTCAAGAAACTGCAGGTCAAAGGTCACCAGACCATGGGAGTGCATTCGTAAGATGGCAAACCTGATTATAAGGGAAATTTAGAAGCACAATTAAAACCTCAAAACTGCAGTCAAACACTTTACCAAAAAGTAATGTGGCACTCAGTCCACAACAAAGCCCCAACAGCCGTGTTTACAGCGAGCCACACATAAAACAGGAAGTGAGCACAAAGCCTTTAGATCAGATGCACAAAGCCACTAAAATGACCCTGTGCTCTACTAAATGCTTTCCTTTGTTGCACAGAGGATGCACTTAACTGGTCAATCAATGGTCATCCTAAAGAGTGTCCGAACACAGGAGCACACCTGGTGTTTTCAGTGGGGTGTTTGTGTGGTCAGGCATCATTATTGTCAGTTAGCTAAAACATTACGCTTAGCTGTTACAGAGCAAAAATGAAAACTCCATGGAATGGACTGATCGAAAGGAAACTTCTCTTTTTTTCCTAGCTGATGAGTCATTGCTAAAAAAAAAAACTCTATATAATGAGAGGGCAATGCAAATTCAGGTCCCTTCTCCTTTCACCTAAACAAAACCTGTTGAAGAGTTTTTGAATACTGTGGCATGTTGCGAATGACACTGATGTTCTACTGAAGACATTTGAGGCAAAGCTGCTCACCTGCCATTCTTGCCGACAAAGGTTGCCAGATATCCGTGTCCCTCCGAGTCATGGACATTCTCTGTCATTTCCTGCTCTTGAAATATAGACTGCAGGCCACACACAGTCGCAGAGACATCAGCTAAACAGAGAGAGGGACAACAGACAGATTCATTTAACCTCTAACAAAGAATATCTTTTAACTGAACAGCTCATTTGCATATTTAATTATGTTTCTTAAATTACTCAAAGGTATAGTTCAGCCCAAAAACAAACTCTCATTTACACACCCTCATGTTGTATGACTTTTTCACTTGGTGACACATAAAAGAAAATATATTGAGAAATCTCAATTTATTTTTTTTATTTTTTACATGCAATAGAAGACAAATGCTTACAGGTTTGGAATGGCATGACATTTTTTTTTCTTTTTATTGGGGGGGGGGGGGTTTAACTCCGGTTCGCGCAGACAGGATGCGTCATCAGCGCGTTCACACATGCTGTGCAGACAGAGCGAGGATGGCAGACAAACATCAACAACCCGAACTTCCTTCCTGGTATTGTAGTACTTTTACTAACTGTGTTTTACTGAGAAAAAACAAGATTGTTGTTAAAAAGCTTTTTTCCAAAAGGTACATCTGGAAAAAGGGGGGGTCGTCTTATAATCAGGGTCGTCTTATATTCGGGCCAATACTACGCTCGCTTTGAACTGGATGACGGAATATCTGGTGATGTCCACTTCCCAGGGCGCTTATGGTCGAATAGAACAAACGTCGCACGTGACAGGAGATACATATGAAATGTGCAGGGGGGGGGGGACGACTGGAATTGGGAACCGCTGATGTAGCCTATTGTAGTAATGTTGTCTCTGGTATTCTGGTCTGTGAGCGTATATGCGTTTGGGGAGCGTGGCTTTGGACGGCGATTGCAGGAAGGTGGGACGTTCGCTTTCAGTGCTATCAGGCTAAAGTTAGCATTTTCCAAGATCTCCTACTGCACTTTTAAGTCACCATTCACTTTCACTGCATCTTTTCTACACTGAAAGTGTAGAAAAGTCAGATCGGTTTTGAACAGCATGACAGCGAATAAATAATTTTCATTTTTGAATAAAATACGTTTAATAATTGAATGAAATGGAATCAAATAAATTACATTTCGTAATTTCACCAAAATTATCATTTCATATGATAACTAATTTAATTGCAGGATTCAAATTGCGCTTGAATAAAAGGATAACTTGCAAAACAATCCATTTTAACCTAGTTAAGCTCATCTACACAAACAAGCAGATTCATATTGATTCCTATCCTATCCACAGTTTATAAAGTAGTGTGAATTGCAACATACAGATTTGCAGCCATAAATGTATCTAATATTAATCCAAAATCATAGTACATGATAGTCTGCACCTGTCACACTGATCACAAAACAGATATGGCATGTTTGTGTGTAATATCGAAGTATGATCGCTGCAGTATGCAAGCATGGAATACTCATCTTATCGGCTTGCGATATTATAAACCAGTGAAATAGAGGCACGGCTGTCATAGGTGAGACAAACAGAAAAAAATCCGTAGTTCAAAAATATATATATGTCATACGTACGGGACTAGTGCCTATAACGGGGTTACGCGCCGTTCATTCATAAAAATAGATAATATGCAAAAGGCAATATTTGAGTTAGTATGCGCCGCGGCTAATTCGTCTGGTAGTCAGTGCATATGTATGTTCATACATGAGCTTCATTCAAATACATGACACAGAGCAGACATTAGCCGCTGCTAACACCGCTATGCTACCCCCCAGAAGGTCAATTATCAGAGCAAACGTCAAGAGGACATGCACAACAAAAGAAGCCCTACAAATGCAATAATACATGCATCCCGTGGCCGTCTCAGCAATGCAGCAGTGGGACTGCAGCCTCGCTGCTATTATAGAGACAATAAATCGCTTACGGAGCAGTTGCGAGGAGGCCCGCATGTCTGCAGTGCAACACGAGCCCTCCTCTTCCTCTCCTCTTCATTCATTTCACTGAAATTTACCTGGCGCACGGAGCTTGAAGTCAAGGGTGTAATGTAGCACTGCCATGATGGGGTAAAGCCGTCTGCCATGCCTGGATGAGGCAGCCGGAGGTGAATCGGTGGAGAGTCTGTGGTGACAGAGGGAGAGACGGGCACGCCGGAGGGAGGTGTGTTATGTGCGCTGCGTCCGTCTGTCTCTTTCAAGTCGAGCTCGGAAGTGGGTGGTAGTGCTGGGGGGGTTGATTCAAATCAGCGAATGGAATCTTTTGAATCATTTCTTCACATAGATTTGTTCACCAACACCAAACCTTTTTAGTTGAGTTTTTAACAGGGGACACATGTACAGAACATAGACCCAGCTAAGACAGATTGTTCCCATTAATAAGAATGCCTTGGGAACGGTCTCTGCTAGTTCTTTTTCGTAACCCGCCAAAGCTAACCATTCAACAGGGAGGTTTCTTGTTTAGTGACAACTTAAAAATAGTCTACACAAAACGTTCTAGGTTTTGTTGTTAGAACCAAAAAATAACATTCCCATAACCAAAAATTGCTAGCTGGGTACATCTATTTACATACCTGTCAACCCTCCCGTTTTCCCCGGGATTCTCCTGTATTTTACCATTCTATCCCGCTATCATCCCGTTTAAATATTTTCCCGTATTTCTCCCGTATTTTTAATCTTTCTATAAAAAAAATCCCACTGGGTGTATTTTATATGTTTGCTACATTCGCTTCCGGTAAAACTCCCGTAATTTGTATGGGCCAAACCTCATTATATGCAATCACAACAAATTCCAAGGTTGTCCAGTTGCCAGATCTTGTATGAAACTCATCTTTCTCACACGATCGACGCATACAAATTTCAACCCATTTGTCCCTTCAACTTGGCAACCTACAGCCCAGTGATACTATTGATGTCTGTGCAGGGAGTACCGCGGGAAAGAAACAACGACTACTGTTAGAAATGGGAGAAGACTCAGGTGGTGCTCCAGTGAAAAAAACTAAATATACAAAATATGAGCGCTGCAAGTTTCAAAGTCAGGTGCTGCACTGCTGTGTTTACTGCGGTTACCGGGGAAACGGCTTTATTCCTGGCGAAAAGCGCCACCTGCTGGCAGAGAATACATTTGCATTTTTCAATAAGCCCTTCTGCTCTTTTAGACCAAAGCCAAAAACGACCCTTATTTTTACGCAGAAAACATGCAGTTGTAAATGTGAACTGGTGGATCAACAAGAAGATAATGAATTATAAAACTTATTTAATTAAAAATTATTTTTTCCATTCATGGTGTCATCTGGGACTTAATCAGCTAAAGTCATTTTGTCAACAGCTGGCACTTAGACTGAAAAATAATAGTAACGCCCTTATGTCATTTTAATTGTGTTTATCCTTATGTAGGATGAATAATTATCATCTTTCTCCCTCTTTCTTGTGAACAAGATTGAGTCACTGAGCAAATAATCAGTTCGGTTATTCAGACTAAGCACTCGAATGCTATTTGCTCATGCTGTAGGCTATCCATACGTTTTTAAGAATTACTCTTTGAATTATTAAGAGCATTTTGTCTTTTGTTTTTGAACTATTTTTGAATACAGCCTAGCTGCAAATACGTTGACAGTAGGCCTAGTTATCATGCCGTTAACTGAAAACTGAAACGTAAACTAAAGGCAGAATGTGGGCTCGTAGGGAATGAACATATTCCGGACATTGAAGTGAACGCCAATGATTCGTTCAATAAAAGGATTCGTTCAATAACATCGATTCGTGGGTAGAGTGGCCCTGAAGCGCCCAAGCCCGGTTTCACACGTGTAGCGCAATCCATGAAAATTAATTACAGCATATTCTCCAGGGTGCAGCGTTGGGTTATCAGATGAAATGAATGCGTATTTTGTGAATTATTTTTCCTAACTGATAGTAGTAGATGAATTGCAAGTGTTTTCCCCATCTAACGTTATACACTTTCAAGTAGGGAGAACATTCACATGTTCTCTATGAACTTGAAATGTTGAACAGAAATCAGTGCATTTAACATTTTATGACTATTTGTTGCCTTCCATATTGTGGCAGTTTCAGATGGTAATAATACTCAGGGGCGGTTCTAGAGGGGGACCAGTGCCCCCCTGCCAACAAGCTTGCCCCCCCCCTAAATTTGGAATCATATCACACCAAACAATTTTGGGTGAAATGCGCAGTTTGTCCTGTAAACTATGCATATAAAAAAAGAAAAACATCACCAGCAGCTAAATTAAAATCTGCGTTCGCTGGCTGGCACAGAGCCAGAGACACGCACGTTTTTAAAGCGCTGCGCATTATAACCAATCCCATACTATTATGTTGAGTTTATGAATACAAAGACCAATCAGAGGCGTTCAGATGAGTCACCGCTGAAACACGCTGTTTCGTCACTGCGCGCGCTGGCTGACTGAAATCTCTGGCTAATTATCTCATCAGAAACAACAAAGTGAAGATGTACGAATGTAAGTAAGATATTAATTTTACAGTGTAAACAGCTTTAGAGATTATTATGGGAGTTTTTGAGAGTGCTTGAATTCGCTGGACTGAAGAAGAAAATGTTCTTTGATAGTGTAAACGTTCTTTGCTCTCTTTTTGTACAATGAAAGTGTTATAGGCTAATTAGTAACTTACTATGTTTTTATTAACTTCACATTAAATACAAAGTCAGTCGTATTAAATATATTTAATAGTATGACACTATATCTGGTACTTAAGTAAAAAGACGAATTTTTATGCAAAGTTAATAGATTAATACTATTAGGCTACTTTATTGGAGAACTAACATAATCTATAAAGGTGCGAAATGCATTTACTTGCACATATTTGAGAATCAAGATATTTCATGATATATTTTGGGAATAAAAAAATTAAAAAAAAACCCTGCTGAATAAAACATGGTTATATGTAATGGTTTTACTGGCATTTTTAATGGTTTTAATGGTTAAAAATTGATTGTTTGTAATGTTATTTGTTGTGGAAATCATTACAATTTTCTGATGGTTTTATAGTTTTTTTTGTTTTGTTTTTTTCAGTAGAGATATAAGCCTTTATCTGTTTGTGGCTGCTGTGTGTCATATGACATATTTTAGTTGACATTGTTATAGATTACATCTGGATTGCAGTGATACATGACATGGTGAAAAATTACTGAATGAATAATAGGCTACTTAAAGTAGTTTAAGATGAATTTTAAAATTGTGCCCCCTAAAAGCACAAGTGTTCCCGGTCTGCCCCCCCAGTTACTGTGGTCTAGAACCACCCCTGATAATACTATAAAATATTGATGTAGATAGAACAATGTGACTGAATGATTACAATATTAATTCCAGGGTTTTTAAGGTTCTCCAAAAGATTTCAAAGAATATCATGGTAGATGTGCAAAAAAAACCATGGTAGTACCATGGTAATTTGATTTAGCATGAATCTCAATACTTTACTCTTACTACAGAACAAAACTGTTCAGTTCTGGTTTTCTGTTTGTGTCATCCAAGGGCAGACAGTACTCAGATTTTAATGAAAACCACTCTCACCCCACTCTCAATAAGAGTGCCCTCATTTCAGCCGTTATATCATTTCCCTCATAATGCTGGCTTTAATCCAAGCATTTTAATTGCCAACTGAACTAGAATGAGTAGCACGTTTTTTGGCCATGTGCCTGTGATCTAACCAGAGAATAAATATAGGTTACTGTAAGTACAACCCAGCTGTCATCATCAGTATATTAACTTCAGATGATTATGCAGTGATTTAAGATATTACACAAATCCTAAACATTGTGGAAAATTATGTTCCATCTGTTGTCATCTATAATTTAGAAATAATGTAACCGAATCCATTGGACTGTCCTGATGGCCCAACCCTCCAAATACTGTATATAACCATAAAAATAAATAAAAAATCTCACACATGGGGTACCAAACAAGTACTTAATTGTACTTAAGATAGTCAAAACATCAAACAATTTATTGATAAAATTACTTTTTTGGAGATACTAGAACACTGGCACTTTCACATGAAAGTTTCATTTTGTTAAAGATCTTTCAGGAACACATGAAAAGGAATTTACGCTTGCAGTTATCTTCAGATAACACATATTTGAGCATACAAAACAATGTACAAACATCTCAATAAATATCATGCTTACAAAAATAGACAGTGTTAAACTAATCGTTTTAGTTCAACATTATTGCAAGAACCTTGCTGCTAGGGTGCAAACGGTCAGAATATTACAACATACATTATATAAAACAAACATTTCAACGGCTTTCAACACTCACCCCTCACACAGACACGCAATCATTGCATCCTGTCAATCCTTCTCTTACACTCATAGTTACATTTACCATTGATAAATGTTAGTTTCAGTGAAGCTGGAATTAACACTCTCAGCTAAGACACATCACAGACAAAAAATCTATTAACCAGACAATGGCCATGCAAATCAGATTTAGAACAAAATAATTTCTATATCAGTAGTTTTATTCTTTCCCTGTGTTTTTTTTTTTCAGTCATGACAGACTACTGTAGGGTAGAGTTCATTGGAAGTGCAGTTATTTTGTCTCTGATGGAGGCCAAAGTCATTATTACAAACACAAATAATTCAAGAGAAAAGAACTTTACATACAAAATAATGCAATATTAGCATGTGCAATAACATAAAGCAAAGAAAGTCAGTGCAACGAGAGGAAAATCATGAATGCTGCAACAAAAAAAAGAGTAAAAGAGTGAGAAATATTTCTTAGGAAAGACGTAGATGTTTGATAAGAGACTAAGAAGAACCCTCCAGGGAAAGAGAGCGAATCTTTTTTTAGCAGATATGGCTGAAATGACTGGTGCTGTGCCCTGCTGTGTCTCTGCATCTCTGGCTACACATCCCGATGGATGATCTTAGTCTCTGCCTCTTGAAATGGGATGTCCTGTCAAAACAAGACACCACGATTAATGATGTGTATTCAATTATGCAACACACGCCTATGATCATAAGACATAAAAATAAGACATTTTTTTAAGGCTGAAAGCACAGACAGATTTTTTGTTTAAAGCTGCCAAGCAGAAGCTTCATGGCATCTTTCAAAAAATATTTGCATCTTTGATTATAACGTAAAAAAATAAAAATGTTTATCTTTGATCGGTTTAATTAAATTTGACCCACTGAAGATCACTTGCTTTAAAATGAATATTATGTCATCTACCAATGCACATGCCACTCGGACATTAAAAAGACTTTTTTTCTGTGGAAGACAAAAGGGTTTTTCCCCATATAGCTAAATTGCCTCATGATGTCTGGCTGTCAGGTTCAGATTTTGATTGGTATATTTAAAAAACTGGGAACACTTTATGAAATGGTTTAATTTGTTAACATTAGTAAATGCATTAGAAATCATGAGCTAAGAATGAACATTTTAAAAGCATTTAATAATCTAGTTTTTAAAATATACTGTACTATTATTCATTTTTGTTCATAATACTTTAATTAAAATTAACTAACTTAAAATGTTAAAGAAATTTCAGACTGTGATTAGTTTATTAAAAAATGTTTTTGTTCAGCAAGGATGCATTAAACTGATCAAAAGTTACAGCAAAGACATTTATAATGTTACAAAAGATTTGTATTTCAAATAAATGCTGTTGATTTGAACTTTCTATTCACCAAAATAATCATGGGGGGGAAAAAAACATGATTTCAACAAAAATATTAATCAGCACAACTGTTTTCAACATTAATAAAATGTTTATTGAGCAGCAAATAATTTTATTAGAATGGTTTCTGAAGGATCATGCGACACTGAAGACTGGAGTAATGATGCTGAGTAATTCAGTTTTGCCATCACAGGAATACATTGCATTTAAAAATGTATTCAATTAGAAAATACAGTTATTTTCATTTGTAGCAATATAAATTTGTTAGATCAAATAAATACGGCTTTGGCTACAAAAAGTGACAAAAAAAAAAAAGAAAAATCCCCAAACTTTTAAATGGTAGTGTATAAATGCTAGGTTAGGATTTTGGGATTTAAAAAACGGTATCCACAATCTAATACATCTTACACTTATGCAATGAACTATGTTTTTGTGGACATCAACCGCTAAAAGCTGTACCTTGAATGAGTTTTGAAGGATTCGCAGGCGGTGCAGCTTTTCATTAAGTAACGGATCATTGCAGCGGCGGACGAATGATCGCTTGTACTCTAATCGAGAAGAGGACCTGTACTCATTGACGGGTAATAGACTAGTCCTCTCCAGAGCCCTATACAAATACCCCAATGAGTCAGCCTGGTGCCTGCGCTCCCGCTCTGGACCTACAGAGGGCAGTGAACAGTTACTTACAATGACACCAGAATTTTCACCACAACTGAAATGTTTTACGATTAAAAAAATGCCCAAGTAATAACAGTCCAATAATAAAAAAAAAAGTCCAATAACCATCGTAAAGCATGTAAATACATTAATATGGTACTATATGCATGTTTAAAATACAACACTCAGGTTATACAGTATATAACAGGAATTCTCAGCTCTGTCTTTTCATCAAGCTCTGTCTTTTCGGGTTGAAAACCCTTGCTATAGTACAACACAACAGAATTAGTGTTTATTGTAATGATCATATTAGCTGTTTGCATTAAGGAGTTACACTTCAGAATGACTATCAGGAATCCCAGGGTGGAAAAAAAGAGAGAGAGAGAGAGAACGGCCCTAAAGCCAAATTCCTCTGTTCCATCCTGAGACGACATTAACACGGACTGAAGGGACTCCTCCTCGTGTGCTTTGAGGGACAGTTTAGTTCTGAGGAATGGTGAATGTGTGGAACAGAAAGGAGGGATGAAAAAGGATAGACAGGGATGAGAGCTGTCACGTTGGATTAGAAGGACTGCACCTAATATGAGGCTATTGGAGGTCTTAAGGGAGATGGGTATTCAGCTGAGATTTGCAGCTACAGTGCATCTGAATCAAGCAGCAATATGTTCATCATTACAGGCTACAAATACAAATTACTGGAGCACTGAAGCAAAATGCAGCATCCTCTGAATGACATTTTGCAAAAAAAAATAAAAAATCTATCATGATACCTAATAAAAAGCAATGTAACGTGAGTAGAGATATTGCCAGGTTGCTATCAAGCCATTCTCAAAACTACAGAAGTGCAGAATCGTGATTCTCATTGTGACTGTAATGCCTTCTAGTAAATTACAATCAATATTATAAAAAAAAGATAATAATAAAATATTAATGCTGAATAAAATATTATTATTATTATATTAATATTCTTATTAATACTGTATTAAAATAATTATCTGTTAAGATAATCGATATCAGATTAATTATTAATCGTTATTATTAACAAAATTATTATTACTATTAAATAATAAACAAGATGCATTTTCAAATAATAACAATAATAAAAATATTAATACTGAATAAAATATTTGTATTATTATTCAAATAATATTCTTATTAATACAGAATTAAAATAATAATCTGTTAAAATAATCAGTATCAGATTAATTATTAATAATGATAAATGATTCACAAAAGTATTATTAATAATAATAAAGTATTATTATTAATCATAAAAAATATTATTATTATTATTGTTATTATTAATAACATATTTATCTTAAAATATTAAGCAGAACTAAAACCAATTCGGCATATTGATAAAAAAAATATGAAATATTGTGGATAAATTATGAATAATTATACATCACAATAGTTATAATAATATTCTGATTCTGATTATTATAATAATTAAAATATTATTAATGTTCAAAATGCATATTGCTTGATCACTATTAAAACATCAAAAACGTAAACAATATCTTGGTTATTATTATCATTATTATTATAGTATTCATAAAATGTATTCAAAATGCATATCAGTTTACCACTATCAAAAACATGTTTGAAACTTAAGGGAAATCAACAATGTCATGATAAACAGGCACACCTTAATAAAACTACTCACATACATTTGCCTACACATGCTAACCCACCCACTAACTTGCCTCTGCATATCTGGTCAAAGTTAGTTCTCAGCTTCCTGACCTGTGTCTCTGGCATGGGCCCGGCCCAGGTGGTAGCGCTGTGCATCTGCGTGTTCAGCTGCATTGGTGGCAGCCAGGATGGCATGAAGACCACTGTCACGGGGCAAGGTGAAACTGCGGTGCTTGCTTCCTACTCCACCACCTTCTAAACCTTCTACTCTTCCTATAGCTGTGATGGGCTTTTGGCTGGGCTGGGTGGGTGTAGTGGGCGGGATGTAGTGTTCTGGAGGCAGCCCGTGCTGGGCGGGGAGCGTCGACTGGCGGCGGAGCTCGACGGGCATGGCTCGACTGGGGTCGACGAACACGGAGTCATCCAACGGCAGAGTCTGGAGGAAATGGAGGCCAGAGCTGGTGAGGGGTGTCTCGATGAGGTCCTGCCATGAACGCCGCTGGTTAGCAGACTTTCGGCCAGGGGAGCTGGCGCTGCTCACGCTGCCCCCCTGTGTCTCGGAGAGGGGGGATCGGGACTGGATGGTCTCTGCGGAGGGTGGGCGGATGTGTTGAGACTCCTGGAACGGACTTGCCTGTAACACAGAGGGTGGGACAACATGCACGGTAGTTGGTAGTCTGTATATTTTACGACTTTTATAGTTTGGTGCAACAAGAACCATAAATCCAGAACAAAGGACAACTATAGCAAGAGGGGCATTTATATCCCTGTTTTCCATTTTCTCTGCTGTCTTCTTTTACAAGCTCACCGCTGTCACCCTTAGTTATGCTCTGCCTGAATAAAACGATCTAAGACAGCAACACATTACGCACACACAACACTCCCTCTTAGGATTATGGGACTGATTTGTGTCTCCTTCATTAAGATTACGGAGGGCTGGAGTCAGAAGACCACTTTTAAAAAAGTGCCTTTTGACTAAATTTACAGAGGCCACAATCATCCCCTGGGTCTAAATAATTAATGTGTCCTTCATCTCCATTCTATCCACCCCTTCACACCTCATTCTTCATCCTGCTCTCCCTCCCTCTTTGCCCTTCTCTTGTCTTTCTGCATTGTTTCCCCTCATTTGTTTCCTTCATTCTTAGTTTTATTTATGCAGAATACACTACTGTTCAAAAGTTTGGGGTCAGTCATTTTTTTAAAATAAATTAAAACTTTTATTCAGCAAGGGTGCATTCAATTGATCAAAACTGACAGTAAAGACATTTATAATGTTACAAATGATTTCTATTTTAAATAACTGCTGCTCTTTTGAACTTCTATTGATCAAAGAATAAAAAAAAGTACATTACTGTTTGTCAGACTTGAAGAACCTCAGACACTTTGATCTTCTGAGATACAAACAATACAAACACAGTGTATTAACAACATACAGACATCTGTTTCCACATCTCACTGAGAGAAGATGCAGGAAAACAGTCATGTTTGGTATCATTTGAATTGTCTCCGTGTGACTGGTACAATGGTCTCAATCTTACAATAAGTAGACTAAAAGGTAAAACAGATCCTAAGAGTTCAGAGATATGTTGCTTACTGTAGTGGGTGTGCCATTCCCCAGTGTCTTTCATGCAAATTACTATCTGTCCCCATACTATCTGTGAGCATAAGAGACTTCAAAAACATTAAAGGGGTCATATGATGTTGCTAAAAAGAACATTATTTTGTGTATTTTGACAGGCTTAGCGAAGCATGAAGGCATCTTCTCACCATGATCCTGTCGAATACTCTTCTGCTCCGAGTGAGCTGTTGCCGCCATGTTCAGTCGACTGAGCCACCTGCGAGCAAACAAAAAAACAAAACAAAAGTTACCTGGGGAGCTCTTCACACTGCTGAAATGCAGAGATGAAATAGTCTTTCGGGATGTCGCTAAAATTAGTAGTTTTGATCAGCTCATGGAACATTAAATGAGATGCGGGAACCTGACTAGAGCATTCAGGAATTGATAATGTTTCAGATTACATTATGAGTCTTTTTTGCTTCTATAGGCATGCTGGAAAGTTTATTTTCATCTTACCTGTTCATATCATCCATGTTGTCCGCAGCAAAGTAGAAGCTCTTGATTTTAGGATGGCAAGCCTTAAAAGCACTGAAAACAGGCAAGAGACACAAAGTCAGCATTGTATGCAAAGCTGCATTAAAGTTTTTTATGAGAACTGTTAGTTTTTATGTTTTATATGAGAACTGTTTTACTTCTAGTTTATTCTACTACTCACAACTTTTTGCGACATTCGTTGGCCTGATCAATGTTGAACTCAGGCAGGCTGACAAAGCCCTCTGCCTTCTCATCCTGAGAAAGAACAGAGATGAAAAACTGAGATATACTGATGTGTTCTGGGTAAGCAGGGAGTTTATGTAGGCAGTCTAATGGGCCATTTTGTGCTTTCATCATGCAGATGAATGACCTCGTGCCCTCACCTCTTCATTGGTGTACCAATATAGGCAGGCATCTTTTAGCACAACCCAGTACTTCTTCCATTTCTGAGAGAAGTAACTCTTTGCATCCTTCTTCTTCCAGAGCCAGCCCTCACAATCACCCTGACCCAAGTCCCTGCAGGAGATTCGCCGCTTACTAATGGAGGGCAGGGATCCAGCTGAGAAGGACAAAGAGAGAGAGCAGAGACATCAGCGTGGGCAATATAAATGAAAAGACTGGCAGAAATAGTATCAAAACAGTGGCTTTTTGATGTACTGCCATATAATGGCAGAGAAATGTCTTGACATAACAATTATTCAGAGTGAGAATGCGTGATTGGATTTGTGTAGGAAAAAAATAACTGCACTGCAAAAATCTTTTCTCAATCAGTATTTTGAGCATATATAATATATATATATATATATATATACTGTATATATATATACACAACATACAAAATTCAGAAAGATTCTGAAAAACAGTTCTTAAAATGACATTTTACTTTAAATGGATTCAAAATGACATTTTATTTCATTA